TGTCATAATCAGACCTTTTAACATAAACTGCAGCTTCCACTGGTTGAAGATATCTGCTCCGGCAGTCCAGGATAGTGCCAAGTCAGCCTGTGTGTTCACAAGCAGTTGGCACCAGGGAGGACAAACAGTGGCCTGTCAGAGAAGGCCAGAGGCCCCTGGATGGGCCAGAGGCCACAGAAACCACAAGAATCCCAACTCTGGCAAGGCAGAGCAACAGCTTAGCCCTCTTTTAGGTCAGTGTAGAAGGAGAAACAGGCATGCATCATGGATCCATGCTGCATCGTGGATTCCAGTGACTTTTAAGACTGTTACCTTTTCATGGTTTGTGCACACTGATTAATCTTCTCCCCCGGCTTTATGTTTTCGCTCATTCTTATCCGCTGTATAAAAAAAAAACACAGCCTCAGCAGTCCTGAAAATCGCCCAAGGTAAACAATCCATCACTGAAAACATGACAGCTTATGGGTTCTGTCAGTGTTTCGGTTTTATCATTATTCCTGTGTGCCGAGCAGAGTGTTTTCATATCAGCGCTGCACTGGGTTACGCTCTGCTCACTGTCAGTCACCTCACACCCGCAGGAGGACCTGGAGGTCTCTGGGAGGAAGTACCTGCTCAAAAGCTTGTTGTCTCAGAAATGTGGTGTAACATATGGGTTTTTCTGAGGGAGGACAGATTTCAGATTTCAAGCCTCTAAAGCTCGAACACGAAAGCTTCGATTTGCAAATGATAAAATATCTGTTAAATGGTTGATGGAAAGAAAATCAGACCAACTAAATGTGTTCCTTCAGCTTTGGCACTTTTCATCCTTTTGTGTCTTCGTAGCTGTTTTGGGGTTGTTAACATATATTTTCAGGGACAGTTTATCCTTGACCCTGCAGGCCACTTTATTTCAGAGACCTTCTACACAATGGGATCTCTCATTGCACATGGGAGTATTTACCAAGGCAACACAGATGAAAAGACCTCCCTCCAGTCCTCGCCTGCCTCCTCCTTCCTTTCTGTCTCTGCTTCCCACTCCCAGTCTGGATTGACTTAACTGTACTGCTTCATCTGTCTGTGCAGCAGCATATGTTGGCCATACTGGAACTATACTTGGGCTCTGGGCTACCTCACATGTTTGACTGCTGTTTGTGAGAGGGTACCACCAAAGAAAATCACTGTTATCCTCCCGAGTTAAACAGTTTTTTTTTCAGAAGTATGTTTTTTATATCTGAAACACACATTTAATAAATCTTTAAACATGACACTCTATGTTTAATATAATTGCACAATTCCATTAAAATCAATCCTTGTCTTGTGCATCCTTTCTTCTGTTTTTAACACATATCCTCAAACTTATCTTGTATTTAAAAATCATGTGGTTCTCTGCAATGTTTGGCTGCCACCCTCTAACTTGATATACCCACCACAAAGCTGCCGTCAGTATCTCCTCTGTCCTGATATACAGTAACAAATAATTAACAGTTAAACAATTAATGTCTCATAACTCAGTGTGAGTTTAATGCTCACTGCGTGCCACTCCCTTCTCATTCCGCCTCTTGCAACGCTCTCCAGAAATGACACAAATGTCTGCAGGGAGACATGAAGAAAGAGGCAAACAGAAAACAGCACAGTCATCCAATTCTCCAGAACACAGGCTTAATCAGAAACAGAGAGAAAGCATCTTTGAAACGTCCCCTCTTACATTCATCTGCTCTGACATGTTTAGCGACACTGATGATACTTAATGCAAAAAACATGTCAGAAAGAGCCTTGGTGTTTTAAACAGGGAATAACAGCTTTTATCATTTGCAGATAAAATCATAATTGATGTTGACCAAGGCAAAGTTTTTTTGTTTTTTTTAAAAGATGTTATATTAACCCTTCCTGCAGACAAAAAAAGACGCCAAAATACCTCAGATACAGGCTTTCGGGGGCTTTACTGTCCCATTGAGCCTTTTGACAACCAAAGCAGCTTTATTTCCACCTCTCATAGATCGCATTCCTGCAGCAACACAAAGAGGGTGCAGTGATGCTTTGATTAGCCACACAGGACAACACAAGGGTCAACACACCAGAACAAGCCTCCCCAGTTTCACCTCCCTGCCTCCAGCTTCTCCTCTATACAGCCTTCTTATTAATACCCCTTCCGGGCTTCCTCTAAATCCCATCACTCTGTTTGTCCGGATCTTGCTCAACGGCTTTTCCGGATCCTGAGAAAAGAAGAAATTGAGAAAGGGGAATGAGAGAGAGAGAGAGAGGAGGCCTGGAGTCACTCTCCCAGAGCGTGGATACAGGATTAGAGGAAAAAGAGCAAATACCGTGGAGCATACCGAGGGGAGGCAGCAGCGAGGGTTAAGACTCCAAACAATAGGAATTAATTAGAACTCCCTCAGTGGAGCATTGCTCTACTGATTAAGGATTGGAGGATTACTGGATAAGCACATGAAATACTGTTTTTGTATATGGTGAGGCCTCCTTCAAAAAGGCTACTCTTTTAATCTTGAAGGCATGGATATAAGCTTCACCCTGCAAAACATGTTTTAGCACCTTATGACACAAATCGCACCTGGTACTCCAGAACACAAGTTAAAGCTTGTTACACATTTTTAAGGTTGAGGGAAAAAAACTCCATTAAAATACATTTGACAAGCAAAACACATCACATTTATTGTTGACTCAAATAATGGAAATCAAGCTGTCTATGAGAAATTTTTTCTCCTTTATGTTTTTTAAATCGCTTTAAGTTTTGTCCACTTTGTTCTTTGATAACAGAGGAAATTAATTTGAAGGTGTCTTGTGACAGAAATCTCTCAGTCCTTTCCAAGCCGTACAATAAATGAACAATGAACAAGCAAAGGAGAACTTAACCCCCTGCCTGGAGATGAGTGGAGTTAGATTCAGCTGGAGGGAGGATGAAGATCAAAGAGTGTGCAAGAAAGTGGCAACATGCAGAAGGTCACACGGATATGATGCCATCCTCTAGGGTAGGGGTGGGGAAACTCCAGGCCTTAAGGGCTGGTGTCCTGCAGGTTGTAGCTGTGTCTTTGATCCAACACAGCTGATTTAAATGACTAAATTCCTCCTCAACATGTTGTGAAGTTCTCCAGAGGCCTGGTAATGACCTAATCATTTGATTCAGGCGTGCTGACCCAGGGGGATATCTGAAACCTGATGGACACCGGCCCTTGAGGCCTGGAGTTCCCCACCTGGAGTTGCTTTAGGGCAGGGGTCCCCAACTAGATGTGTCCGTGATCCAACACAGCTCATTCAAATGGCTAAATTACCTCCTCAACATGTCTTGCGGTTCTCCAGAGGCCAACCTTTCAATTTTTACTGTCATTTAATAACACAACTGGCACCCTGAGGATGAGAATGGGCCGGACAGACAAGTGCTGCAGATCTGCAGTGTCCAGTATAGGGTTGGCTTGCGTGTTCAACTTTTGTGATGGACATGTGACAAAAAACTATGAATATAAAATCTGTTTGACTGTCTGACTGAGCTACAACTTAGTAAGTTTTAAAGGGAAATTAAACTGTTTAAGTTATAGAAAAGCCTGATTGTGGAAGAAGCTGTCTGAAATCTGTGAAGTGTTTTTAGTTTATGCCTCTTCAGGTTAAATTGGTTGGTGCTAAAGGCTACTAGTTTAAAAATAAAAAAACAGAAAAACATATACAAACCTCTATAGCCCATTTTCATTTCTAAATGAAGCCATTAGGTGCTAATACACAGAGATTTAAACCACACTGCTGCACACTGGTGGGGGAAATGTAGTCGAAGGACTCCTGCAGGTCCACCCCTGTTCTTGATGTGCCATGCGACACTTTAGTGTATTTGCCTCCCAGTAAGTTGCTAAAAACCTTTTTCAGAGCTGCAGAGATGATCTCTAAAAGATCTTTTTCACTAACCTCTAAATTATTCTAAAATTTTCCCAAGATCATTTACTCTGTAAGTTTTTATTAATTTTGTTCTTTTAACAGATCATTTTGAGTTAAAACTGAGTGAAAGTCATAAATCGATAAACTTATAATCAATAGTCTGGTGATTATAAGCTAGTAAGATGACGCTACCAAATAAGTTTTTGATTTTCAATTTTTAAATGGATTTGGTGCTTTTGCAGTGATACAATAGAGTTTTAAAAGCAAATGTACCACAGATGCCTCAGCCTCCAACAGACTGGGTGAGTGATGGAGGAGCTGGAGTGCAGCCTCAGGGTTAAAAGATCAGAGAGACAAGAAAACCTCAAATTGAAAAGAGTCGGAAACTCAAGGCCACAGTCTCTCTTTATCAAACACACACACACACACACACACACACACACACACACACACACACACACACACACACACACACACACACAACAGGTGTTCTAGGAGAAGGACACTGAACCTCTGTTGTTCTCCCTCCAGGCAGGAGGATACGATCTGAAGGTGTATAATTTGAAAGCCATGGTCAAGAAAAATGTGCAGCATCCATCATGGATGATAAGAAGGAGGATGTGGGACCTAATGAAGGAGGAACCAGTAAAGGCTAACCCTAATTCATCTTAAACAACATGAGATTTTCTTTTCTTTTTTAATTTATTTACCCTTTCATGTTCGGTGCATTTTTTTAATACACGCCTCTACTTTTTGATCAGTTCACCTCTTCATTAGACCCTTTCTGGCTTTTTGTTGATAAACCCTAGAGAGTTGCAGGAGAAACTAGGGGCAGGTATCAGGTAATGCGAAGATATTTTTGAGTGAGAAAAAAGAGACAAAACCAAAACTGTTCTCAAATTTTGGACTAGTAATACAATATCTGTTTTTTTATGGCATCTTATTTTTACAGTCATGGATATTTAAAATGCAATGAGAAAATAACATATTCAACCCGAAAATACAGAAAATGTACTCCCCAAGAAAAACATGAGAAGGTGAAAAATACATTTTTTTTTTTCTCTCTTTGGATTTTGCACTTCACTGGGGAAGCTTAAGCACCCTCCCCACGCCCATATAATATCTAAATGGGCGGGGTGAGTCCAATCTCTGGACACACTTCCAAACACTCCTCCGGGGCGCAGCACACAGGACACGCGCGCTAAAGTAAGAAAGTTTTTTGAACTCAGCACCACAATCTCTGATTGTTTCAGGGTGGCTCGCTGTAAACTTTAGACTTTACTTTGATTTCCAGAGGATTCTTTGTTCGGATGCGAAAGTACAGCGGGCTTCTTATTATCTCCCTCTGCGTATCGAGAGCATTCTTCATATGATGCTCGGATTTTGCAAAAGTGTTTTCTCCACGCTTTGGATCCAAAATGTGAGGATTTCTGTCGGAATAACTTCGGACGCTGAATAAAGGGAAGCCTGATCTGCGTTGTGACCAGCGTGAAACTCGTTTTAATCCAACTAAGTCTGAAATGGGGCCGTCATCTAAGCTGCTTCTCGTTGCTTTTTTGGGTAAGAAACTTTCCCCCATGTGCTAGTGTTTGTTATTCTGAGGTTTCATGCGCTGCAACAAGTGTCAGTGTTAAAAGATTTTAAAAAACTGAGCTCAAAGCATGTTTTACTCCACGTGCGCTTGGAAACATGTCCATGTGTTTCGTATTTGTTTTTCTATACAAGCTGTACAGTTAGAACAATTTCAGACGGTCATTTAAGTTAATTTATTTACTTTGCTAATCATTTAAACAGCACATATGTAAGATGTGGGTCACTCTTAGGTTAAAATTCCCTTCATCACACCTGTTCACTATCATGGCTTGATGTTTGCCTCCATTCAGGACAATCTTCGTATTAACTTTGCGCCTTATGCCATAGTGATGTATAAAGGTTAGAAGGCAATAAAAATCTTCCCCGAGGCTGCTGGGCAGATGAAAGCGCTGCGAGAGTTAAGAGCCACTTAAAACATCCAATCCTGATGAAAACCCTGTCTGAGCAGCAGAGGATTATGGGACTGCAGTTGACCCAATCCATCTGTTGCCAGTGACAGTGGAAGGCAACATTTGGCAGCAACTTCAAATAACCTGGTTGAGATAAAAAACGACATTTTGGGGTCCACTTATCCTTAAGTGTGTTTAAGTGAATCCGAACGTTCAATTAAGTGGTGTGTTATTGCAGCCTTTCAGCGTGGCAATGAAAATGCACTGTCAGGCTAGATTAGAGTGCGCTGTAAATTTACTGGGAGAGAAAACCTCAGCGTGTCTTTGGAGAGCAAAACGGAAAGGTTAAAAAAAAAAAAAAAAAAAGCCAAGAAATGGACCCACGGAAGAGCAGCTGCTTCTATTTCACCTTTTTACTGAATCTAATCTATTCTGCTCAGTGGACCTCAATGGAGCCATGACGTTTTTATTGTATCTGCATATAGATATTGGCTTAACTGACAGCTTTACTTTAATGTTCATTTCAGAGTAGTTGCTGTTGTTTTTTTATCATTATATTATTTTGTGTGTGGTGGTCATGTGGCTATAGTTTCTTTAAACTTTCAGAAAAGTTGAAAGAATAGAAAGTAGCAATAAAAAAATAGAAACACATTTCACCCATATTTGCTATAATTTGACTAATATTACACATATATTGCCAAAATTGGCATTTTGGTTCAAAAAAGGGGTTTAAAAAAAAAAGAAAGAATACACATTTTAATCTCATGCCTGCCTCTGAAATCCAGATTGGACAGATGTGCTATTGCATTATAAAATCATAGCCAATAATTTTGTACTTAACATCACAGTAGTCACTGTAAAGTAACTTTAGTGAATGGTAATACACCAACAAAACCGGCAACGTTGCTGACACACTGTGATTGAAATCATTTAAAGGAGTTTGTGTTGATGTCTTGAAGGTTCATAAAAGCATTTGTGCAAAATGCCTAAAACATAATATATCGTATCAGCTAGTGCTGTCAGTCTGCCGATGCATTGGTCTGGCTCTGTAAAAGCTGCTGTAATTTGGGGTTGCACTGGGTTGGATGCCAGTTACCAGCATTTATCAGCTGTTAAAGTGGTCTGGAAGTCAAAGCAGTTTGAGACTAGCAGATCTCCAAAGACGCCAAATAACCATTGCCATAATTGCAAAGCATCACTCAGACAATTTGCACAATAATTTCATAGCGAGAGGGAGAGTCGTGCCGGCATAACTGAGAGAGATGCAGTCAAACTGCAGCGAAAGGAAGCGAGGAAAGGAAGTAGGAGGCACAATTTGTAGCCTGGTTTGTCCCGCACATCTGTATCAGCAGCCAGTGCAGGAATGCAGTAAAAGTGCTGGTTGTGAAGTTTGGATGGATTACAAAACAATCTCATCTCAAGGTCCATTTAGTCACTTTTCTGTAACTTTTATGTGAAGCATGGTCCACATCAGCTGTTGGAGGTGTTGTTGTTGACACTGAAATGCAGATGTTCACATTTCCATTTTCCCTCTTGAAGGTTGAGCTACGAAGAATCAGATGGCTTCCAAGAAAAATCCCCCAAAAACCTTTAAAGTGCCAAAGCAGCTGCTAAATACTCTAAAATGAGACTACAGGGGCCCTGTGAAATTCCTGTTCCATTCGTGTGTGGTCTATGTTGGTGTATTTTTTCAGAATTAAAAAAGTCTTATTTTTTTTTATTAATAGTAATTATGGTGGTGAATTTTTCCTTATTTCTTCAACATTTTTCAAAAACAGTCAAAGCTTTGGATTAAGGAAATTGTAGAAGTGGAAGAAAATGGATGGATGTCTTTAATTTGTCCCAAAGGAAGAAAAATTCTGAACAAAAATAGAAAATGTATTTTCCAACATTTGGTCCAGAGTAAAAAATCTCATCAACCTGATTGCCATGAGCCCCAGAGCCTGAAAATACCTGCTGTTTCTGATGGCTTTTCACTTGGCACCACTGTGATGTTGACAATCATGGTTTTGTCTTAGCAACTTGAAATTTGTAGATATGCGTGTCCCACTAAGGAAAATTAAAACTGGGTTTCCTACTCCTGCCACCCTCGGGTAAAAACTTAGACTAGAAGCAATGACGTTCCCTCCTGGCTCAGCCTTCTTAATGTTTAATGCTCACCGCTAGCGTGCATTACACCTGCTAAACATTAGCATTTTCTGTGCCAAATTACAGCCTGTATGGCTGTGCTGTATCTTATTACTTATTTTTCTCTCAAGTTTATATAAGTTTACCTAAATGCATCTAAAATACAAAAACAGGGAGTCAAGTGTAGCTCAAAACTCCTCTTTCCTTTGACATTGTTTTGGCATTTCCCCCATGCAAGTACAATCTGACAGCTGGCTCTACTCTCTTGTTACTGAACCAAAGGAGTATTTTATGGCTTTTACTTCCTAATCTGTGTAAGTAACTTAGATAAATGTGTACTGGCTTTCGAAAGGTGCAATTTTCCTTCTGATCTCCAAGTCGAAAGCCTTTCAAAATACTCAAGCACCTCCACTTTTCTATTTTTTTTTTTTTTTTATGTACTCTATAACTTCCCACCTCTGGATGCAGCTGCCCTGAAGTTGAAGTGTCATTTTGTCTACCCTTTTCAACTCCTGCGCGGTCACTGCCAGACTCTGAGATAACAAGAAGAAAAGTCCTTTGTCTGGTCTCTGCTCTGGAAATTTAGGATTTTTCTCTTCCCATAAATGCTGTACAGTCTCTCTTCTTGTCAGGGGTCCCAGCCTTCTTACCTCACCAGTGGGATCGGGCCAACTGGAAATGTTCGCCGTGGTTTGGGACTCTGGGAGTTTTGTGGGTGCTTTGATTTAGATAGAGCAGCAGTTTGGGAAAGCAGCAGCAGCAGCGAAGGGCCAGAAAGAGTTTGAGTGTAGCCGTTCTGATTATTGCCTTCACGAACGAAGAGTTAAAAAAAAAAAAAAACTAGTGGAAGAAAGTCACACATTCAACACTAAAAAAGTGCAAAGAAGCAGGCGTCTGATGCCTCCTCTTATAAAGTCATTTTTAACAAGCTACGCATAACCTCCATATAATCATTTCCTCATTTATTTCCCTGTCTGAGTCTGTTTTCCATTTTGAGTAGGTCCACATTTGTCTTTGATGTAATGTAAGAAGATTTGTAACTGTGGTTCAAAACGAAGCTCACGTTTCATTATAATTTTGATATTTGCACAGGCTTCCCTATGACACTGCTGACTCTGGATCAGGTCTGTCTAACGTCATGACAGAAAGATATCAGCGATGTTGCTCACAATCTTATCACAAAGAAAAAAAAAACATTTGACCACGACTTAAGAAAACATTGTTGAAGATAACAAATTATGTCTTAATCTAACGAAACAGCAGATTTTCACAGAAACAAAGATTTATTATTCTCCTCCTTCATTCTCAGGCTGTTGCGTAAATCCGACATTAAGCTTCAGTAACCTTTAGAAACCACTCCCTCCTCAAAAAAATTAGTTCTGTCCTTTTTTTGTTTCTTTTTTGTTTTGGGGAGTTTTTTTTGGTTAATGAACTTATGCTCACACAGTAATGTGAGGAAAAAAGTACACCAAGTACCATCTTTACTCCAATAGCCAGCAGATTCGTGTCCCACCACTCAGTTGAAACTCCGTCTCTGCTGTGCGCATGCTTCAGTGCAACATGACTGACTCAAATGTTTCATAGTTCAGCTGTTGATTGGCTCTTTGTGGATGAGGTGTGAAAACGGCAAATTTCTATTCAGGATTCTTCTTAGTTCCACTTTTCTGGCTTATATGATGTTTCTGAACAAATTCCAGACCCAACTCTGCCAGGTAAAGCTAAAAGATCACAGATCTACCTTTTTTTAAATTTTTTTTATTTATTAAAAAGCACTGTCAATATCAACTAGTATATCTAATTGAAATTCCAGTTCCAATCTTCATTTTTCTCAGGAAAAAATGATCCGATAGTGTTATTCCACAGTTTTCCAGACAATCCCCGGGTCTCCACTGAGCACAAACTTCAGAAAACAATATGTTAGCAGACTGATGGATAAAATTAGTTTTACATATAGGATATAATTTAAAAAAAAAATCAGCAAATAAAATCTCAGATGAACCACAACATGACATATTACACTGTCATTGTTTAACAAAAACAAAGCCAAAATGCAGAAGCGTGTGACAAACTAAGTACACCCTCTGAGGTTTTAGCTTGTAGAATCATCTTTAACATTTTTTAACTTGAAGTAATCGTTCTCTGTGCGACTGGATCGGGCTCTCGTTTGATTGCTGACGAATTCTGGCCAACTCGTCTTTACAGTTTCGTTCAGTTCATTGAGGTTTCCATGAACTCATCTAGGCACAGCTCTCTTAAGGTTCCACCACAACATTTCAATCAGGTTGAGGTCTGGACTTTGACTGGGCCGTTGCAACATCTCGATTCTTTTCTTTTTCAGCTATTCAGCCATGGGGATCATTTGACTGTAGAGTAGAGGAGTTCACGGTCAACTCAATGACTGTAAGGTGCCCAGGTCCTGGCTGCAAAACAAGCTCAAATCATCACCTTCAATCAACACTGATATAAGCTGTTTTTTCTATTATATTGCCTTTGCTTTTTTTGCTAAACGTGCTGCTGCGTGTTGTTGCCAAACATCTCCACTTTGGTCTGATCTGTTTGAAGGACACTGTCCAAGAGGTCCTGTGGTTTTCCTGTTCTTTCTAGAGCCAAGAGGCTGGCATACCTTCCAAACAAGCCATACTTGTTCATTCTTTTTCTGATTGTGCATTTAACATGCTAATTAAGGCCTGTGCGGTCTAAGATGTAGCGCTTGGGTTTGGGGGGGGTTTGCAATTTATCTCAGCATTGCACGGTGTGACCTTGGGGTGAATTTGCTGGGACGTCCACTCCTTAGAAGATTGGTTACAGTCTTGAATGATTTGCACTTGTGAATAATCTTTCTGCTGCATAATGACAGACTTCAAACTGTTTGGAAATGGCCCTTCCCAGATTAATGGGCAGCAACAAAAGCTTCTCTGAGATCATCTCTGACTTCTTTCCTGCTTGAATGCTCCACACCAGCGCACCCCCGAACTGCTTTTGCATTTTCTCTTAAAAAATTCTTCTGTTAAATACATAATGGCACGGTGTACCACTTTATGTTCTATTCACCTAATTTATAACCGGGTAACAGTTTCGCAGCTAGATTTCTGTTTTCTTTTGGATGTGCTCAACCCTTAAATTCACCTGCTATTAAACCCGAGGGGTTGCATAAAAGTGTTAAGTGTGTTTTAGATTATACATCTCACCAGGTTTCCTTTTTTAACACTCTCAAGCGCACACTGTTAGTTTTTGCTCTCATCATAGTGAAAACAAGCTGTTGGCAGCCGCTCAGATCGTTGCTGTGGTCCAAGCCGAGTGCAGGTGTTAAAAAAACCAAAAAAACATTTATATACATACGTGCATAACATGCAGCAAACTGTGAAGTGTCTCCTTTGATTTTTAAGATCAGCTACAGCAAACAGAGCAGCGTTACTAATGCCACCAGCTGAGTCGGGGGATCAAGTCTCTCCCACTGTCCAGTGTTTCCATTCAGCAGTGCTGTGATGTGGTGATTTGCACACAAGCCTGGGCTAGCTCTCATAGGAGCTGCCCGACTGGGTGTAAAACAGCTGGATGGAGCTTTGTTCTTCATGGAGCTTTTGGCTTCTTTTAATCAGATGTTTTTCTCCCTCCTTCAGTGTTATTAGTCTCAAATTAAAAGCTCAGAGGCGACCGCAGTGGCATTCCTTGGCATTAAATGATATTGCCAGGCAAGTCGGGTCTGATAGAAAGAATTCATGGCAAAGTCTTCATATTTCAAGGTAGATTTTGATGATATCGGAGTATTACATGGCATAAATCCTTGAGGGAATGTGAGCTTCGGGGCTTTTCTCTGGCTGTAGGCTTTTTAAGTACTTTCATTTCCGACATTTTATCCCTTTAAGCTCAGTCCATCGCTGAAGGTATTGTTTTTCCATGTGGTGCGTCAAGGGCACGCGGGCGGTGTGGGAACTGAGCATACAAATCGGCGCAATCTTCGTCATTTGTCTTGGTTCGTTTGAATGTTGTTGTTAAAAGTGAGTGGAAGCCGAAATTCACTAATTGGCCCTCAACCTGTCTCACGATCTGCTCATTTTCATTCATACCAGGTGTTACAGGTTGTTGGAGCAGCCATGTAATCTCTGGCAATGACAAGAGTAAAAATGACAAAATTAAACCTTCTAAACACTTCAAAGAGGCCTGGCAGATTGAAAGCATGAGGGAGACTGCTGTTTCGTTTGATCTCAGCGTAATTGGCGTTCCCAGTTGTCCTAAAAGCGGTAATTTTTTAGAAGGTAAAGATATGCCAGAATAAACAGATTCCTCTGTGGTTTATCCAGCCTTTCAAACTCGGTGACCCCAACATTTGATGTTCAAACGCTGCTCAATGGTAATTCAACAGCTGTTTACAATGTAATTTTCTGTTTGATTGTTTTACATTTGTTATTGTACGTAAAGGCTCGTCATCATCATCATCTTTGTTTTCTCATCGTCTTGTTCCCACAGTTTGGGTTGAAGGTTCCTCTCTTCACTACTCAGAAAGCCGCTCAAGTCGCCTCTATCCAGAGAAAACCTTTGGCCGATCCATCAAAGACTCCCAGTGCCAGCACATGCTAAAGCACCTTCACAATGGCGCCCGGATCACTGTGCAGATGCCTCCCAGCGTGGAGGGCCACTGGGTGTCCACCAGGTTGGCGTCTTTTCTCTGTATCTTCCCCCTAACCAAAATCTTTAAGAGTTTGCATTACTCTCTAGCAAGCTACTACTTTCACTTCATTATAGTAAGAAACTCTTAGCAGGAGGTGATTTTTTTTTTTTTTAATTAAAGCTTACATTACTTTCACTGTGAGTCGATGTGTGTTCACCACATTTCTTTATTTTTACACCCACTGATGTGGTTCACAGGCACATGGGAGTGGTTTGGAGGCTTCCTTTAAACTAATGGTTGCAACTCAACAATGGGGAAACAGGAACACAAATAGTAATAGACAAACTCATTGGTTATGATGTTAAAAAAAGAACAACAGCAAGTGGGTGGGGCTTTTGCTCTTTATATATAGATATATAGATACAGATTAGTTTCAGCCTCCTACTGTCAGGTCTGACATGTCTGAGCTTCTCTGAATGCACCACCAGACAGAAACTTACGCTGATCTCGTGACATTCTTCACAAAAGAATAAACCAAAGACGTACAACCAATAAAAAAGGCTGAAGCTAGTCAATCTTCTGTGCAGATTAATTGGGTTATATTTCAAACATGCTGTTTGTGAAACTCAAGGCAAGGAACATGAATACCACTCAGCTCTTCACACAAACATAAATGTTTTTAAGGGGTTTTTTTTGTTTCTTTTTAACAGCCATCTGTCCTCTCTTTCAGCTGTGAGGTCAGACCAGGCCCAGAGTTCCTGACACGCTCCTACAGGTTTTACCCCAACAACACCTTCCAGGCTCACCAGTTTTATTATGAGGACAACCACTGCACCAAACCCATCTACACGCTGGTGATTCGGGGTCGACTGCGTTTACGCCAGGCCTCCTGGATCATCCGCGGTGGCACAGAGGCGGAGTACCAGCTCCATCGTGTCCAGATGGTGTATCACACAGCCACCGTGGACAAAGAGCTCAGCCAGAGGCTCAACCGCAGCTGCCGAGGGGCAGTGAAGGGCGCCTGGGAACCCAACGCGATGTACGAGCTGGTGAGCGAGGAGGGCGACTACGACTGCACCAGAGATCTTAACTTTGCCATGCATGAGCTGCAGCTGCTGAGAGTGGAGAAGCAGTACCTGCACCACAACCTGGATCACCTGGTGGAGGAGCTGTTTCTAGGAGACATACACACTGAACCATCGCAGAGGTTGTACTACAAGCCGTCCAGCTACCAGACCGCTTTGCAAAACGCCAAGGCAAGTCCCTAATGATCCTCCCTCGCTTAGGGCTTAGTGCATTGATGCTATTATGTAGCCTTAGACTTGATTCTAGAACAGAGTTTGTCCACTTGTGGGTCGTAATATTAAATTAAAGAGTTTTTATAATTACAAAACATTAAAAAATAAGTTTTGGGGCGTCCATAACTTTGAACTATTGTTATAGCCTTAAAAGTCTACTGCTGTACTTCAGCACAACCTGTTGGGTTGTCTAAAAGCCTACATTTTTTTAAATCAGCAATAGTGTGACTGTATATAAAAGATGGCAACACTCATTAGTCAATTAAGTACCATCATGACGCATCAAGCTGAGTGTCATCACTGTCGCCATCTTTGTGTTTTGTAACCAGACATGGAGTGGATAGACTGTGAAACTCTTAGACACTGAACCCTCGCACGGAAATCTCATTCTGAAACATGCACCAGAATGTTTGTTTAGCATTTTCCAACAGACTTTCTTTGCAACCAGGCTCCTTTTTGAAACCAGCAGTCGCCCCCTTCTGGGCATTAGAAAGAATGCAAGTATAAGGCACACCCACTTCAGTTTCAAATGTCACAACTGGAAGCTACTTCCATCTTTTATGCACAGTCTGTGGTTAAGACACTAAGTTTCTCTGTCAGTAAACAGCCAGTGTTATTTTAAAGTTGGTAAGGCAGGGACTATGTTGAAGTTTGTAGTTGTGCAGAATCTTTGCCAGTAACAACAGTTATTACCTGCAGGGGATAGCTGCCTCACTGTGCAGGAACCATGACTTACCAGTAGGAGTCCTTAGTTGAGTGACGGGAATGAGAACTCTTCCCACCCAGAAACCTGACGTTTGTATTCATTGGATCGTAGGTAGGGTTTTGTTTTCTGTCCCGAGCATGCAACTCAGTGTGCAACCTCAGCTGAACTCCATCCCTGCTGTGTTGACCCTCCACACCACAAAGACCACACACACCAGATAGAACCTGAGCTGACCTGAAAAACATACATTTTAATTTGGGAGCTATCTTATGTATAATTTAACCAAAATCAATGAGGAGACCAGGATAAACTGTTTGCTAATTGTGTTTGTGTTTTAGAGGGAAGGCCTGTTTTGTTTTTTTTAGGGGGGGAAATTACATTATTCTGCTGAATTATCGAGTTATTGATAATCCAAATTATTCTGAGGCGGTTAAGCCCATCTGTTGTACCTAACTGATATCTATTTAGAAAACCCTAGTCTGTGTTAGGATCTCTGTGTAAATCAATAATCTTGAGCTTAGACCTTTGCACACTAAATATTTGCACTGAAAGAAACCAGAAACTATCTACATACTGATTTCATCTCCACTGTGCTTACAGGATGTAATTTCTGTATTTACACTGCTGAAAAGGAGTTTCCCTGCTGGCTGAAACCCTAGAGTGATGTTTTCACTGTCACCCTCTACAGAGATCACAATGAAATCCTGTTCGGGTCCGCTGTCTAAATAAACATTCATATGTATGGGGATGACGGGGCTTGGTGTTGCTGATCAGAATGTAAACAGTGTGTGGGGTGACGAGCTGTGATCAGACAAGCTCCCCTGTGGCGCTGTAATGACCAGAGCTGCTCTCCTTAAGCCCCTCTGGCCTGCAGAGATGCAATGTGAAACCGAGCCTATCTCTGGGAGCAATCATCATGCGGTATTCCTAGAATTTGGATTGATGCGGCCATATGAATTAGTCCAGTGAGCACATACCAGCTCCGATCTTATGCGTGCCTGAGGCTCAAATCAAACTGTTGCATGTGCTCCGTTTTGTCTTCAATCTTTTTGGAATAAAAAAAGGAAGTTGGACTGTTGGCGGAATTTTCAGTGACACTTCCAAACTGGGAATCAGTCCTAGAGTTGCAGCCTTGAAGGGAAAAAAGGGAGTTTTTGCTTCTGTCTCTTTCATTTCTGTTACCACTCCAGTTCAGTTAATGTCAGTGAAGTTTCTTTTTAACAAAGCTTATAAAAAGTATTCTCTTCCCTGAAACACCGCCAGTCTTTTTGTGTATTTTCGAAACATCCTGCTGTCAAGCTAGAACAGGGACTGTTTCTTTGCCAGGAAGCGGTTCCAATAAAAACTCTTCAGTGTGTTCTTCAGATTACTGAGAAACAAAGATTGTCTCTCAGTAACCTGAAGAGTGTCTCTGTTACAGAAATACTCTTCTTAATTTCTTTAAATGCCATCCCATCCATCCATTCTCTTTGCTTATCCTTTTCAGGGGGGAGCCTATCCCATCTACCATAGGGCGAGAAGCTGGGTACACCCTGGACAGGTCACGAGCCTGATGCAGGGCTAACGTAGAGAGACAGACAACCATTCACACTTGCATTCACACCTAAGGGCAGTTTAGAGTCACCAATTAACCAAAACCCCATGGTATGTCTTTGGACTGTGGGATTTTCATTAAATGCATTAATCAAAACGCTGCATGCATCTACATACAGAAGATTATTGCCAATCACTACAGCTGCACTTTGCACTTTAGATCATTTTAATCACATTAAAAAAATGGATGTAGTCTTTGCACCTAATGCTTAATTATGCCAGTTTATGTATGTGTTTGCCTATGAAGAACCTATAGAGAGCCTTTCAGCCAATGCCAACATGCTCCCCTACAGTCCTCCAAAATCCCAAATGCATGGCGCGCTATATGGATGACTCTGTGTATCAGTTGAATGCTGATTGGTTGAAAAATGTGCCAGAAAAGGGAAGGGAGCACCAGGAAAGTGCACAAGAATTGGCTTTCCATAGTTTTTAACACTCAGTTTGACTCCTCTGCACTGCTGGCTAATGGACCAGCAACAGCACAAGCAAGAGTAGCGCACATGGGTGTGCCCCCATCTGACAAGATGCTGTCTGCAGGTAGATGGGCAGTATTTAGCTGCCAGCACACAGCCACTGCTGTACCATAATTTCCCCTTAAAAGGTGAATCTAGTGTCAAAGTGCCTTAAAACTGCATTCTTTCTAATGACCAACAGGGGGGGCGACTCTTTAGGTTACAAATAGAAATCGGATCTGAAATTTAAAAATGACTCTGCCACTTAATCACTCATTTAAGTTTTTATTAAACATGACTTGATGTTTGTCCCGTTTGGTTAAACTACTTCTCCGTGATGTAGTGGTAAATACATTCACCATACTCTCAAAATACCTACGGTTAGAGGTTGGGTGTAGACAAAAGTCCCAAGCTGATATCCTCATGGCTCCAATCCTAAGCCAGAATGAATGGGATGGTGTCCGACATAAAATCTGTGCCAAAACAAACATGCAGATCAGTCCACTGTGCTGATCGCTTGCTAAATAATGAAGTAGAATAGAAGATATGTGCTGCAAGGTTTTAATCGTATTCTCAGATTCAGCAATCTCTCCTCATGTTTAGTTTAGTTTAAAAACAAATATGGTGATGGCTGAAATTCCTATCTTGAGGGTGTTGTTCACAGACCAATGTATGATGTCATCTCAGATACACAGGCTGTGATTTCAGCATCTTTCAACTCAGTGTGCTGGTTTTAAAACCATCAATTTCACTGCTTTGATTTACATTCAGACACAAACATAGTGGAGCGTTTAGTAGCTAAAGGTATTTACAAAAAGAGATGTTGGAGACCAGAACAGTGCTCAAGGAATAAACACTGGACATGACTGTAATAAAATACAGTTTAACTTGATTTAATGCAGAATAGATTCTTTGAAACTCCACTGTATTTGAGTGGAAACCACTCTTGAAGGCGAACATTATAAAACTTGCAAAAAAAGTAGCTCCTTAGTAACTCCCTATTTGGGTAAACGTGGTCATTTGTTTCTATAATAACACAAAGGTCTACATTAGAGTATTGTTTTTCACGGCATTTTTCAGTTACAGTAAATTAAGTTTCGTATATTTTCTTGGTAAAGCAGCAGTACAGAGTACCGCACTCGTTCTTACTCGAAAAGCACTCAACTGGACCATCTCTTGAGGTTGTAATGGTTTCTTTTCAGGGATTTTTTTTATTTTTTATTGCCATGGTGATGATCCAATACATTAATCTTGAGCAGTGTACCCAGGGCTGGTCCCAGGACTGGTCCCAGACCAGAACATTTGCTGGTGCCAGCATGTTCATTTGTGGTTCCTGGGTGGAACTCAGCAGTGATGCAAGAGCAAAGCGGGGGACTGTGTTTTTAAGTTTTCTGTCGCCCCGGCTCATTGCTGCGTCACTGAGGCGGCGTAATGACCACTTGATAATGATCCTTGTTAAGAAGGGATCAGTTTTGGGGTTTTTTTTCTATATTGTTGCTGTTTTTAAAGTGTTGTGTTTGCTCATTTTGTGTGTGTACTTGTTATGCTGCTCTTGGTCATTTCTTTCATGAAAGTACCTCAAAACTTGAGAAATAAAGCCGGTCAATCTGAGATGAAAGGTTTTTTTATGAATTCCCAGGAAGTCGTCTTACAGAAGGGATACTGGTATAGCTCAATGGATGCCAGTTTAAAAAAAATCAAAGTATTAGGACTGTCTGTTTTGCCAACAGGTCTCTACGGAAGGTTTTGAAAGTCCGATATGGTTTCAGTTTCTCATAAAATGTTTGCTCCTGGACATCAGCTTTCCCTGAACTACGTCCCAAATGGAAGAATCTGCCATGACTTGGATTGCACTTTATTTGTACGTCACCTCTGTTCAGTATAGTAAAAAAAAAATGAAATGGGGGGGGGGGAAGTCACTTATATGTAGCAACGGTAGTAATATCCTCCCTCATTTCCTCCGTTTTTATTTTCTTCATTTCCAGTAAAGTTATAAAATACTTTGCTTCTACCTAAAAGTACGTCCAGCATTTCATGGCAAGCCGGACACTGTAGGCTCAACGCGGCAAAGAAACCTGCCTGCTAATGATTTCCTGTTAAATACAAGGTTGAACTCTTGGCTGGAGTCTTTGGTCACTGACACACTGAAAACCCATCCATGCTCAGATCCACTTAAACTTTTCAGCATTTTTGCTGGTTATGAGGGC